TCTATGGATGCCTAATATTGTATTATACACCAAGTTTTTTATAATTGTCCCATCAACTCTTTTTATGACATTATATTTGTATTCCCTTATTTGTACATAGAAAAATGATAGACACGCATATAGAGCTATGTGTACTCTGATTGAAACCATCACCAAGCCCCTACATTTAAGAATCACCATTTCTTGAAATTTTCTTTGCAATATACATACTGAAACTGAAAGAAAAGCTTTTCAAATTTTATCTGCATTTAAGACAATTCGTTATATAGATGCCTAGTTTTTTTGAGATAATTTTTTAATATAATTCTTTGAAAAAAAATTTATGATAAAAGTTTTTTTTCTTTTATTATTATATTTTCTATGATTAATTGACGAAGTGTTAAAAAAAGTTTTGATAATATAAAAGGATATTTTGGTCAATAACTAAAATACATTAACTAGCGTTAAGTTAAAGGATTAACTAATGGGTGTTTTGATAAAAAGATAATTATTTTGGGTTTGGTGGATTCAAAAATATATTATTGGGCTTTTTAGAATGAAGATTGTTTTAAGAGGTTTTTTTAGTAATTATCCCTAATTTTTAACCACATTATCCTCTTATCAAGCATATCGTTAAATAGTTAAAAATGGTGTATGGTATAAACTTATGTAACATGGTTGATCAAACTATCTTTTTTAGTATTTTGGAATGACTTGTCTTCTTTTCATTTTACAAAACATCAATCCCATTTACGTGATTCATCATAATTAGTATTCATGTAAAATTAAATATGTATCTTTCTGTTATTTATTTTACTTGTACTTGAATGATAGAGTTGAATTATTTATCATAGAGGTAAAAGGTGTGTGTGTATAAAATATTACATAAGAAATAATTTAGTTTTTGGTGCTTAAAATTAACTCATCCATGGAGTAATCTCTTTTTTTATTTTTTTATTTTTAAAAATCTTTTGTGTCTCACACCTCTATATTCCTCAACCATAATCGTGTTGTCTTCACAGTCAGTTTTGGCTTGGAAATATTCTCTGGTGCCTACCATTATGTTTAAATTCTTTTCTCGCACAACAACCACATGATATTCTTAGATGATGGTGAATTCATTGAGACAATTCGTATACAAGTGGAGTGAAATAAGCAAGCAATGGATTATTCATTCTTCATGTTAAAGACACATTTTTTATTACGGTTTAGTTAGCATGAATTTTTGAATTTGTATAAAAAGTTTGGAATTGTCACAAAGCACTGAAGCAAAAATGATTATATATTTTTTTACATTCCCAACCAACAAACATTACCAATTTTAGAAAGGGAGCTAGCTCATAGGTATGATCAGATTGAATGGTTAAATTAGATTTAATCAAATCCATAGATTCTCAAGAGCGTTGTTAGGAAAAAACAAATTTTAAAACTTTATCATGATAGCATGTAATGGCTCATGGCCCCTTTAAAATGGGAATAATATGCATAACCTCTCAATTTCCATCATCTTCTTTTATTTTTGGGCAATAATAAAAGACTAGTGCGTTTAACATTGTGTTTGAATATTTCCTCTTGGGAGGAGAGAAAAATGAGAGGAAAGAAAACTATTTTTTACTTGTTGTTTGGATAAGAGTAGAAATGAAATGAAAGAAAATATATTTTTCTTGTTTGGATAATTATAGAAAGAGAAAAAAGAAAATGTATTATTGTATATTTACTATAATACCTCTATGATTACATTTTTATATTTAAATACTTATAATAAATTTGTATGAATTTTTTCATTAAAATTGCACATCAACGAAAGCTTCAATTTTTTTAAGAAAAGCAAAAGCAAATACTACTCCCTGCAACAATCAACGAAAGCTTTTCTGGCAGCAAAGCCAGCCTATAGCAGCATTCCAAAAAGGGACAGAGAGAGAGAGCACAATTTGAAGAGAGATTAAGAAGGAGATGCAGTGTTTTCTTATAAATCAGAAACCTTCAATTTTTTTTTTTTTTTTACAGATTCATTATTAAGCTTCTACAAAAAGAAGAAAGAATTCCAATTGTCTGTTCCTCTGTCTGTCTCTCAGCAGAATTCTGCCGTACAAGATTCTTATTCATTCTTTGTTTTTTTTTAACCGGTGCGTTTTTTATTTTCATTTATTCATTTTGTTTTGTTCTCTTTATTTCTTTTTAAATGTTGTTCAGTTCCTTCCTTAGTTTATTCCTTTTGCTTTGGTTAATTTCTTTTAGGGTTTCAAGATCTCCGACTGCTTCAGAAATGGAGAGGGCAAACCAAACAAAGGTGTAGAAAACGAGGGCAAAAATGATAATACTCATATTCTTGGATGTTATGCCATGATTTTCTCCCACTTTCCTCCCAATTTTGGGAGGAAAATGGGTACCACCATCTTTCACTTTGTTTATTATTATTTTTTTATTCCACATGTTTTCTTTGGAAACCAAACAGATGAAACTTTTATTTCCTTCCTGATTTTCTTTCCCCTCCTTAGTTTTCCACTCTATCAAGAAATTGCCTAACCCTGTGTTTGGATAGAGTGAAAAGCTAGGGAGAGGAAAGAAAAATGTTGAGGAAATAAAATTTTAACTTGTTTGGTTTTCAAAGGAAACCTATGGAAAGAGAAAAAAATAATAAACAAATTTAAAGGTGGTGGGACTCACTTTCCTCCCAAAATTGGGAGGAAAATGGGAGAAATCATGCCAAAATATAATAAAAAATAGAGAATAAAAGGTATAATCATTTTCGCCCTTTAAAATATTTAAATATAGAAATGTAATAATAGGGATATTATAGTAAATATATAATAATATATTTTCTTTACTCCTTCTTTCTACAATTATCCAAACAAGAAAAATACATTTTATTTCCTTTCATTTCTACTCTTATCCAAATAATAAGTGAAAATTAGTTCTCGTTCCTCTTATTTTCTTTCCTTTCTTTTATTTCCTTTCAAGAGGAAATATCCAAACACAATGTAAAAGAGATAAATTAGCTTTTTTATGCCCGCAAGACTTGATGAAATTTTTAATAACTTTTTTTTATAGCATAATTATTATATACATTATTTCTGGTTAACTAATTAAACAAATCAAATCAATAAACTCACTACAATAACTAAGCGATTGTTTTAAGAGTAAAGTCAAATTTCAAGAAAATATGATAAAAAAGGCTTTAAAAATATATTTATTGGATCATAATTTCAAAGCGAGATTCACTTATAGGTCCCATTAATCCAATAATCTATGAGTATTAATTGAGTTTTTTATTTTCATATTTTTTTTTAATGTTTAGCATCACTATTTTGAAAAAAATATTGTTATATAAAATTAGATTTCACTCAATAAAAGTAGATATATTTATACATTCACGAAAGAATCAATGGATTCTAAAACAATATTTTGTTACGTGATGTTTCTATCCTAATAACTAAACAGAGGGTACGTTCGCTTTAAATATAATCAAACCCCTGGAGGTAATTGTAGATCATATTTATTGTACGGATTATTTTGATTAGTCTGGTCAACATAGCACAAGTTCATATGAAGATATTAATACTAGTGGTTAAAGGAAAAAAACGTTTACTTCCCCAATTAATTTCAATATTCGTAACGATTTTTCTGACATGTAATTGTCACGTGTTAATTTGATTATCCGGGAGTTTGCCACGCGTCGAAGACATGAACTTCGGTATTAAGGGGCCGCCGTACTACTACAACTACCGAAGCAAAACCTTTTTCTGTCAGCTGTTTTTCTTTATATTCCCAACAGTGTACGTGGCAGAATCCAACAATTTCTTGGAAGGAACCATTTTGGAACAAACAATTGCAAATCATTAAATGCACAAAAACTCTCGTCAAAATCGCAGCCCATAGATTAATCAAACGGCTTAAACTGACTCTGCAAGAACAAATCATACGATCCACATCCCTGCAATAAAGCACCATTTTTTCTCTTGACGTTTCTAACGACTTACGTGGGAATCTCGCCGCAGCCAAGCTCATCTCACCGTTCGTTTACAGAACCTTGACTTGACATTTTTTATTTCTTCCAGAAATTCAGAATCGCGTGGGCGACCATAACAATGCTAGCCATTTCTCTCTCTCTTTCCTCCACTTTTGACTCGTTATAATTCCATATGGCTAACGAAACTGAAGAAAAAAGCTATAACTATGAATCACCCTCTATGGTCACAATTATTAACTATTCAGTCCTTGAGTTTTAGAATTTCTCTAACTTCCCTTTACCTTTCTTGACTTGACATTCGTTCCCTCCTGATTTTTTTTGGCAGATGGGAATTGATACAATACATGTAGAATGAGCATTTAAAAGGCTAAAAATTTACTAAAAAAACCCCACATTTTACTAAATCAATTTTTATTTTTAAATTTCATTATTACTTGATTTTTTATTTTAAAATTTTGTTTTTCATATGATTCTTATATCCACTGTGGAATAAGAGGCTTAATCTTATATATATATATATATATATATATATATATATATATATATATATATATATATATCAAATTTAGTTTAAAAGAAATATAAATGTGACGATAACTCTTTTATTACTTAAAATGGTAAGTTTATTTAACAAGTTTTTACCCAAACAATGAAAATAGTCATTTATAATTTTGCATATCTCTCTTTTAACAATAAAATTAAAATTTATTTTTAAAATGTTTTTTATGGTCAATTTACATCTTCTTGAAACATTTGTATTAGCCACGCGTGTAGTCACAACCCCTAATAGAGACTAACAAGAAGGATGATCTTGTTAAACCGAGGCAAGATTAGGGGAAAGCTAATGTAATTTTTAAGGTTGGGGACCGATACGTCAACTACTATAAAGTGAGGGGACTACTTTGTAGTTACGGAAAAATAAAAATTCCCCAATTCATTGCTTTTTACCTATCTGTCTTTTCCAGTGGTAGATTCTTCTATCGCATCCCTTTATATACCTCTTCTGTAGTTACTTTAAGGCTCTATTCCTCACCTCCGCTCTCCACGCAAGAATAATTTCACAACCATATCAATAACCGCCGCCGTCAACCATTACCGCCGTCAAGTTTGGCATCAAAAGCAAGAACTTATACCTGAAGGCGAGAAGAAACCTTTAGACAGGCAAATCTTGCAACCTGGAATGAAAGTCTCCTCTTGCAGCGTAAATTGAGATGTCCAATATACCAACTTCTCTTTCTGAAGGATGCCTGACTCTCTTTCGTTTAACCATGTCCACAGCAGATCCATGGCCCTTTTCTTGAAGCTCACCACACTCTAACAAAGCTCCCGTTTTACAACCTCAGAAAGCTCAAAAAACAGCACTTGCACAATAAACCTCTTTTCTGTTTTTCTCGTACTGTTAATATATCAAATCATGAGAAAGATAAGAGGTTTCAAGATTGGCAAAAGGTTAGTCCGGATCTCGACCTGGATCTTCCGTCGGACCCGGATCCACCCACCAGGTTACAACCTTTTAGGCCAGTCAGAATCAGAATCAACATGCAGGTCCAAGCTAAAGTCCATTTCGAAAATCTTCAACTGGGGTCGTCGTTTAACAAAAGGAGCTAAAGCACTTTGCAGTGCAAAACCCGGTTCGGGTTATGTACCCTTGGGTCATGAAAACGAACCGTATTGTGATAAACCGGCTACAGTACCAAAAGGTCATTTGGCTGTTTACGTAGGTCAAAAAGATGGTGACTTTCATAGAGTTTTGGTGCCTGTGATTTATTTTAATCACCCTTTGTTTGGTGAATTATTAAGAGAAGCAGAAGAGGAATACGGATTTAATCAACAAGGTGGGATTACAATTCCTTGCCGATTCTCGGAGTTTGAGAGGGTCCAAACCCGGATAAAAGCTGGGTCATGTGGAAGGAAGCCGACGTGGAAACGTAACAACTATTGAGGATGTTTTTATTTTCTTTAATGACGATGATGACGACGACGATGTTGTTTTAGACGGTGATTAAATTAGGAACTTTTAGTTCGGTAGCGGTTTGCTTTTTTTTTTTAATAACTTTTTTTACTATTTACAACTTCTCTCTCTCTCTCTCTCTCTCTCTTCCCAATACTTCTTGTAATGGATTTATGGGTGTAATTGATATAGATTTGGTCCTCTCATTGTGGTAATGAGTTGATAGTGATGATATTAATGGAGACGGTGGTAGTAGAATGATGCTCGCTATTTTGGCCGATCAGATATTACTGATATGTAATATAATCTCATCCAATTATCCTTAAGTATATATATAGTGATAGAACTTTCTTCACTCGACATGCCATCATTAAAGTTCCAGCTGGTGAAACTCCCTTTGATCGGGAGAAATGTTAAAACTTGACCTTTTTTTGTGTAGAAAAAATCGATGGATGGTTTTATTGTTAGTTGTTATTGTGATTATTAGATGATTTGGTCCACTTCCTGGTTCAACCATAGTTGTGTGTTTACATACCACAAACAAATTCAGAAATTTATGACTGAGGGCTGGTGGCCAATTGCTTCCTAACAAATAGCTTAAAGTTATAAAACAATGGACAGTTGAATTTGTTTCTTGTCCTTTTTCTTGTATGGAAAATAGTTGATAGAAGTAGATTTTGGCTTCTTTCTTTCTGATAGGAATATTGGCACGGTGCATTGAAGTTATGGTGCTCGCTTGGGGCCATGAAAGCTCAATAAAGTCGAGACGATAACGTTCTTGACTTGTGTGGCATGTTGGGTTCATTTACGTCTACAAATCTGAAGTTCTGGTTCTACTAGTATTGAAGTCATAAAGTTTGCTCCTACTTTTAATAATAATAATCTGATTTTAGGTGAATTTTGAAGCCATGAATAGTTTCTGGGATCTATAGCATCGTGCAATATGAGAGACTAAGGAATGCAGAGATTCTTCTGTTACACGGAGTTTTAAGTATTCAGGTAGAATTTAGGTAAGAATGAAGTACCAAAATGCTTACATGATTGGAAAGAGATTTGAAGAATTCTGTTTTTTCAATTTGCTTCTAAAAGTTTGGTTTCGATGTAAAGGGGTAAATAGCAGAAATAGATAATTTGCCGTCCCTTCATTAATCACCATTGGTGTCCTTATCAACAGTAGTGGAGAATCTTATGGTCGAAATCAACTTGAGTATTACGCATTAGCCACCACAACTTGATAGGTAAATGCCAGTCCTTTTGATTGTGTTAACGTCTATGCCGCATGCAGGTCTATGGACCAAATGGTGTTTTGCTGTATATTGAAGCTTTGTCAATGGATGTGAGTGACCCTTTTGGGAAAAATTATCAACTTGATAGGCAAATTCCAGGATTATGGTAATCTTGAAGAATCAGGAAAAGAAAGGTGGGGTTGTTTGTTTGGTTCGTGTAACAATCAATTGCAAGGAGTAGCAGCGAGAATACAGATGAAGAAGTAATTTAGGAGAAGCAGCAAGCAGACGGATGAAGAAGTAATTTGGCCAACAATACCAAGGGACCAAAAAAGGCCAGGATTGGTAGATTTTACTCTGGTTTATTTGCAATATTCAGAAGAAATATCTAAATTGGCCAATAAACTTCTTTGTGGTTTGATTTTAGCAGGTGTAGCTATCAGTTGAAGAATGGATGATTCAATAAGGTCAAGAAAACCAACATCAAGGGTCATAATTGTCAAGGTCGATGACCAAACTAGAATTTTCAGCTCGCTTCACTTGAATAATTCCTTACGCAAGAAATATTTTTCGCCTGGTGTCTATCATTCACATGAATGGAAAGAAAATCGCAAAATTTTGTTGCCATGTTCAAGATTTGCCTATTTGCACTGGATTTGGACCGATAGAAACATACCCATCTTGGGATCCAATCTGAATTGAGTTTTCAAAGGTAATGTCCACGCATCGGAAGGTCCCTACTTTTCATGTAAATAATGGCAAAGGCCATGTAATTTTTATGTGCCAGTACGCGAATTAGTCAATTTGTCCGTTCCAACGAAGTTTCAGCAAGAAATTAAGCTAGTGGTTGGTGCGAGTGCGACAAAAGGAAGGCCTCTTGGTCAAGTCGTTGAAACAGTCCAATGGGCCAAGCCGAATTTGCGAGGCCCTAATAAATACGTCGTCGTCCTAGCAGTGGGAGCTGATAAACAAGAGCGACGTCGTTTTCAACGAATTAAGAGTTCCAAAACAGAAACGACGGCTCATGAAAAAGAGAGAGGGAGACGGAGAGAAAGTGATCAGCACTTCAGCAGGATTTTGATATATATGAATAATTTTTTTTATTCTCTATTTTTTTTTGTTTATATCTCTTCATCATGCCGTCTTAGTTGATATGTTCACATGATACGTTTATTTTTTAACATGCGACATGTATCATATGTATGATTTTAATAAATAAAAAAACTCAACCAAAACAACTCAAAGAATATATGAATTATATTTTAATTTTCATGTCATTTTTTTTTTAAACTTCATCCTAAATGCATGAAATGTTTCATATATAAAATCCCATTATAATAAAACTATGAGTGTTTTTTTTAATTATAATAAGTTAGTAAAAAAAATTTAACCTAACATACAATTATTAAAACAAAATATAGTGATGTATAATATTAATTAGTCATAGATCCCTACATAATAAATCTAATTATCTATAAAAAGTAGAATTCCAAATATTTGATCAATTCAAAGTAAAAAATAGGATTGCTTTTTTAAAAAAATCTAAAACTGCATGATTGCATCATATTTTCATCTTTAATATAAATAATTAACTATTAGTTAGCATTATTGTTGTTTTTATTTTAATTTTAAAGAATACATTTGTGTTCTTTCTCTCTCTCTTTATCAATTACATGTTAGGTTTGTTTTGTATATATTTATTATTTTTAAATTATAACATTTTTGTAAAAAAAATATTTATTGTTGTATTGTTATGAGGTCCCACTATGACATGTTATGTGGCATTTAAGATGAGGTACTAAAAAACATAGCATGGACATTTAAAAAAAATAATTTGATCGTTGTATTATTTAAATTGTTTTGATTGATTTTTTTCTATTGGATTCTTATGTATGACACATGTTATACATTTAATAGTGAACATTTTATATAATGGAGAGACAAAAATTAAATAAAATGAAGAATAGAGATAATTTGCAAAGAATTTTTTCAAAATTATGACAAGGTAGATCTTCCCGATCAATTAATATGATATTACCGTTATTAAATTTGTATACAACTACCATATATTGCCTCATCATTTAATAAAAAAATTATTAGTATCTCTAGCATTATCAGAATTTTGTAATTTGATGTGAAATTTGGCAAGGTAATTTGTCTTTGTAAATAATTTATTCCTTGTTTCAGTCATTAATTAATGAGCCTTTTGTTCTGCCCTCATAATACCCTGCATGCATAATGATTCCTATATAGAGAGGCCATGTGTTATGCTACTTCATGCATTTTGAAGATGTTAAGTTTTCCTATTCTGCTCATCATGTTAATCAAAATTGAGAAAAGAATTTAGTTATGCTCTACATAATGCCATTTTCTGTGGTCTCAGGTATTTTTATTTCTAGCGGCCTATGCCAAAATACTAGAGATCCTTTCACCCCTCTTTCAGTGGATCAAATTTTTTCTATTGCCTTTTGCATTAGTTTTAAGTGGTGAACGATATGCGCAAATGATGTTTTTGCATCAACTATCAGAATTCTATCGATCTCTACCAATATCGATTTATGAGACACACAAATTGAAAAAAGGTAAGATTCTTAAACTATATCTTAATAATTTAAAGCGTTGTTACTTGTTTAGCAACTTAGATTACCATGTTTCTACTTCTCTTACAAAGAATTCTTGGTGGAGCCTCAATGCGCTCAAACCGTAAAACACTAACAAAAAAGTTTATTAATTTCTAGCTGCTCTCCAATTGTTTATCCTACCCCAACCTTCCTCCCCACAACACATGAGCAGCGAATAGGATCAAAATTGGCATTATTCACACAATGGAACTGATGATGATGAGGTAGAATGAGTAACACAACAACTTCAATAGGACAGGTTATCCTCTGGATCTTTATTGAGCCAGAGGCATATATTTACCTCTTTATAAAGAAAATTTCTACGAAGTGGCATTTTGCTGAATCAGTATGGAATTTGTTCTCTCGTGGTAGTGTTTAGGACACGAGAATCAAATTCACTATTCGGGTTGGAATGGTGGAAAGATTTTCTCCTTTTGTTTAGCTCCGATTTTGATAGATTAATTATTGATGCTGGCTGTTTTAATGTTTCCTTATGTGCCTGCAGCATTCACTCTGGAGGAGTTCTATTTTCAGAAACTTCCAATTATCTTGCCAAAAAAACAATGATCGAGACAGATCCAGTGGAACTACTTCGAGGAGCATCATAAGTCGGAAGTAATTAGACAAACGCATGAACAAGAAAAATCTAACATGTAAACTAAGGACGCTTTCTTTTCGCTATAAAAATTGCATTTCCTCGTAGCATTCCACTAATTTGGTTTATGATTTATGCGTAACAGATCGTCTGTTGAGGTAAATGTGCAGCACATTTCTGATAAGAAATTTTATTGTAGTGTTTCCAAATTTCAGTTCTCTTTTAATACGTCAGACTGTCGGTTAATGGATCAGGTAGCTAATTTTATCCTGTGTCACAAATCTGTAAGAAGGCACCATTACAATCTGATTGGCTGTGGCAACAATTTTCCTACTATCCAATCAGAATAATACTACTGTTTAGTAACTGCTTTTTTAGGTCTTTGCTAGAATTAAAAGCAATGGTATACGGTGATCTTTATTGAGGATGAAGTGAAAAGTTGAAGATGCTAATATAAAAAATTAGATCATGAAGACCAAATGCCCCTTTTCTTGGTGGAAAATAAAAATTCTCCAAATAAGAATTCAAGGAAAACCAAAAAGCACCCACATTCTCATTCTCTCGCCATCAGAGCAAAGCAACAAAAACAAAAGGAAGGAAGGCCGAACTAGAAAAAAACAAGAAAAAAGAAATGTTGAGAAGGCTTCACTTATACACCACTCACAAAACGATCCCAGCTCTGAGACTCACTTCACTCTTCTTTCTCTTCCTTTATCTCAGTAACTATGGCAACTTTGTCAAAGCTTATGTCTTCATCTATGCAGGCTGCTCTCAAGAAAAGTATCAGCCCAACTCTCCATTTGAAGGAAACCACAACTCCCTTCTAGCTTCAATTTTTAGCTCATCTTCTCAAACTTCTTATAACAGCTTTGCCGTTGGAAACGGAAGCTCAACATCCCCTGAAGGAATTTGCTATGGCTTGTATCAGTGCAGGGGGATTTGAAGACTACTGACTGTTCAAGATGCATTGAAAGCGCTGTTAACCAGATAAGTTTAGTTTGTCCATACTCTTACGGTGCTGCTTTGCAACTTGAAGGTTGCTATGCAAGATATGAGCATAACGATTTCTTGGGAAGGCTTGATACGAGCTTGAGATACAAGAAGTGCAGTAAAAGTGTCAACAATGATGTTGAGTTCTTTAAACGTAGAGATGATGTTCTTGCTGACTTGCAAACAGCTATGGGATTTAAAGTTAGTAGTTCAGGTTCAGTAGAAGGTTATGCACAGTGTTTAGGGGATTTGAGCTCAAGTGATTGCTCTTCTTGCCTCGCGGACGCTGTTGGGCAGTTGAAGAATCTATGTGGATCAGCAGCGGCAGCAGATGTTTACCTAGGTCAGTGCTATGCTCGCTACTGGGCATCTGGTTACTACGATCTCTCTTCAGGTTTGCTTCGTGCTTACTCTTTTCTTCATGTTATTCTGAAAGTCGAAAGGTGCCGTTTTTTTGTTCATCAATTATAGAGCTATACTGCCTTCTACCATGCCTAAGGTGTAACCAAAGACACGGTCCCTTCCTTACAAGAAGGGGTTTAATTAAAACATATTGCCATGGTTATGACGATCAGATCAATTTTTTTGTAGAAGTTTCATGGATATCAATATCTGGTTGAAATTTTGTATGTTCTGATCTTTACAATATGATCATATGGAATGGCACAAAAAAATTCATATAGCGACTCGAGCTAAATTGAGATCCAGGCTTAGTTGCTGTTGTTGATTGCAATGGTGGCACCATGTCTTCATGGGTTGCAGTAAAAGCATAGTAGAAATTTGCCTATAGTGACAATGTATGTAATTCCAACCTCTATCTCATTTTGTGGATCCACTAAACATTTGTTGTATTGAGTTAAAACCAAACTGACCCCTTTAGTTCTTTTTCTAAGCAGTGAGAGAGGTGGTAGGAGACCATTTGAATTTTTTTCCCAAGCAGGAAGTCAACAAATATTTCTTTAATAAAGTAAAGCATTATGGTGTGTGGGCACGTTGGTTGCTTTCTTTTAGGCACTTCCATTTCTTAATGCATTCCTCTCTTTCTATCTGGCTTTTCCCTCCCTTGGTTCTTTTTTAATTACCAAAAAAGAATATATATATATATATATATATAAAGCTTTATTAAGTCTTCGCGGATAGTAAAAGTGTTACGTTGCATTATTTTTTAAGTGATTGGGTTAATTGCGCCCTTCAACTCTGCAGTTGGCACAATTAGGCGTCATGATTTCCCTTAAAGTTCCACTGAATGGCTGATCAGATGCTCGAAAAGAAGAGAAAGATGGAATCTTAGGACAATCATTTTGAACCCTAAGTAGTTGAAAGATTCTAATCCTTCCTCTATCTTGTTACAAATCAAATGGACTTAAAGAATAAAATAGTCTGAACGTTTCCAAGTGGAAAATTTTCCTTTTCACTTAATTATTTGCTATAATACTTATCTATAGATGTAATATCTATAAATAACATAGCAGAATTAAAAGGTTTGAGGAGATATGCTTTAAAAGAAAAAATGCTTTGTGGTAGTGGCAGCTTTGTTTAGTCTGTTGTCAAGCCATTTGAACAGAACTAATTCTATTGCTTTTGCTGCTTTTGGTGTTTGTATAGATTCCTCCAACGACGATGATGTGGGGAAAACGATAGCCATTATTGTTGGTATACTGGCAGGTCTAGCCATCCTAATCGTTCTCCTCTCATTTTGCAGAAAAACTATGGGTAAAATTTTTTTAAAAAATTTATGTTATTTTTAATATCGTTTTAATTATAAATGATATTGGTTATTGAATGATAGCTTCTTGAATGCAGATTAAGAAGACCAAGACATCATGTGGTTTCTTACGGATTAATGAAGGGTAGTCACGTGGGAGAGTGGAAGCTAAGTTCCTATTGTTTGTTTTAATATTCTTGTGAGAGATCCGTTTTATACTTTTGTCCATTTAAATAGACCGTTTTTTGGCACAAAAGAAGTTGGTGTTATCTTCTAGCTATAAAGTATCACTAATCTCTATCAACTTTAAAATAGCTCTGATTCCCTTCTCTTCCTGCTGTCAACAAAAACCCATCAGTAACATTCTTTGGCATATTATATTACTCTACTTATTTACGAAGCTATACATTTATAGATCAGCCCTTGAAGATGTTGATGTGTGGAAAGTGAAAACTGATCAAAATATTCAACTCTAATTACATCTCAAGTTGAATTTCATTTGCTATCGAGAGGCTTACTAACTTTTAGAAATTTTGTTTTATTTTATATCGTGAGAGCATAATCCAGTTTTGTATGATCACGTGAAATAATGTGAAATAATGTGATAGTTCAACTTAATCTAGTTAATTAAGATTAAAAGAGAGTTTGATAACTTATTTAAGTAGTTTAAAAAAGTAAGTTGTAGTACTTAATTAATATAAAAAAGTTTGTTTGATAACCTAAATAATCTCATATTAAAAATTTAAATTCGAGTCAAAATCTACTTAATCGGATAAGTTAAAGTTTTTAACTTATTACTTTTTTGTTAAAACGCTAAGTTAAAAGATTTTTAAATTTTTTTAAATATGACTATATCGCTCTTATATATTTTAATAACTTTAGATATACAAACCAATTGAAAAACAATCTCTATCATCATCATTGCTAAAACAGAGAAAATCTTTTCCATTACCTATGCTACCATCCAATTAATGTTATCTTAGACCATATTTAATTTTTTATTAATAACCATTTTTATTGAATATTTATTTATTTATTTACACACAAACACATCGAAGTATATATTTTTATTTGTGTTAAAAAATATTATGTTACAATTGTAAGGTTAAAATTATCATGTATATAGCTATAATATGTTCAAGCAGCAGTACTTATCAAACAAACTTATTATATTCGGCGCTTAATTTTCAGTAAATACCAAACAACTTATCATGAATATATTCAATACTTAACGTATTCAACACTTAATTTTTAGTTTTATTTAACACTCCCTCGACTAAATTGGACTCCTTTTTTACTATTCACTTTGCAGCATTTCTTTAAACTTCGGAAAAAATTTCTCTTCGATTTTTTCGAGCACGAAACAATTTCTCTTGATGTTTTGGAAGCATGCAAAAAAAGAACAAAAAAATACAACCAGTACTCCTTAGTTTTTTGAGCTTTTTATTTCCAAGAAATCCTAATTTTTGTTTAACGAAGATCAATATGATGATGGGCAGTGTTACCATTGCCACCTACAGGCCAATGAGCTCTCTTCAATATCTCTGAGGTCTCAATAATAATATTAAGAAACTTCTTTTTTTTTTCTTTTTTGTTATTTTGGAGTATCCTGAGTCACAATCTAATTCCACGTATGCCCCCATGTTCATAAAATTCTTGGATAATTTATAATAGTTTTCAGTTTCTGTACCAGTCCAACGATAGGCGTAGGCCTAATATGGACGGTCGGCTTTTCAGGTAATAACTCCAAGCAACGTGGATCTTATTTTTTAATTAAGTTACTCTGAAGTCCATATTTGGGCCACTCTAACAGCCCTCTAACGACCTATAGAATATTTGGGTCGGGCTTGAAGAATCTCAAGTTGTTAAAACATTTCCAGTTCTTTTCTTAAACCGGACCGATTGGTCTCGTTATAAAGGGCATTGGCTAAATACTAGGGATGGCAATCTGATCCATCCCGACGAGGTCCCATCCTACTCTATCCCATCCTACTCTATCTCGTTCGGGACAGAGATGGTATGCGAAATACGTCCCAAACAGGACATGGGGCAGGGACGAGGACAGCCCATTGCCATCCTTGCTAACGAGGACAGTCCATTGCCATCTTTGCTAAATACCATAGCGAGATACGAATTGAGTTGTAATTTTTTTTTTATATAAATTTTCAAATTCTATGATGAATAATTTTTTTAATAGGATAAAAAATTTAACCTAAAAAAATTGATTATAAAATAAGATTCCGTTTGATACTATTTCTTGGTTTTGATTTTTAATTTTTTAAAAAAATCAAAAACTGTTTTATATTTATTGTTTTTTGTTTTTTGAAAATTATTTATTTTTTAACAAAAGGTGTATGTGGAAAATATTCTTATTTTAAAATATAAGAATATATTATTAATTAAAAAATTATTCATATTGTGTAATTTAATCTTTTTTCTTAAATAATGATATTAGATATTGATGATAACATGATGATGATTGATATAATACCAAAACTAATGATAATAATTAAAGTAATATTATTTTTTTATGATTGTAATTTTATCAATAAGTAAATGATTGTCGTGTTGGATGATAAGTACATGACAAGAGTGGTTGTAATAATATGATAGCATTAAAAATAGTTATAGTGTGTTTGTAAAAGTTATGAAAATTATGATGATAGTATTAGGGGAGTTAATGATAATTTACTAATGTTAAAAAAGATGGTGATATTAAGAAGCATGGTGGTGGTGGTGATATTATGACAATGGTAATGGTTAGGATGATGATAACGATGATGATATTAGTAGTGTTGTTATAGTTGTAGACGTGTGGGGATATAATGATGTTAATAGTGCTAATATAATGTATTATAAATAAAAATGCAAAAACAAAAAATATCTTCTTGTTTCTTTCAAAAACTTGTTTTAATTTTTATAATTGCTCAGGGAAAAAAAAAAACCTCAACAGTACAACTAAACTAATTTTCTAGTTTTTTTCTAAAAAAAAAACCAAAAATTACAATGAACTTAAGATTGAAGGCAACTTGCATGACGATAGCTTGTGGCTTATACTACCAGAAAAAGGTTGATAACAGCACAATTAATGATTCATAAGAAACACCACAGGATTGAAGGCTCATGTTATCAAATCATAGAACAAACAGTGAAGGGTCTCTTCAGATCTTCTTTGTTCAGATGTTTCTACAATGTACATCTCTACTATCTCATTATGCATGACCGGATGTAGGAAAAAAAATTTGTAGTTTCTCAAGCAGTTTTGCCAAAATTAAGTCCCCGCCAAAGGTTTACAAGCTGAAATGATTGGAAGAATGGTGAACAACAAGAGTTTTGGACATGCTCCCATTTCCTGTAAGCACACAAGGAGCCCCTTATCCTCTACAATCACAGGATTGACCCGCACCACTCTCTCTAATTCAGCCTTCTGGCCATCAGTCTTAGCCAATACCTCAAAATGCATCCTCGTACACTCAGGCAGAGATGATAATATATAGGATATAAAAAGAATATTTATTTTATTTGATCTAATAAATATTCATTAAAAATATTTAATCATTATCGAATATAAAAAGAATATTTATTTTATTTGATCTAATAAATATTTATTAAAAATATTTAATAAATATTGAAGTGTCTAAAAATAAAAAATTACATATTCACTAATATGTTTTCAGGATATGAGTATCTATTATTTATTCTGTTAATATCTACTATTTTATTTTTATTTTTTTATTAACATATAAGGATCTAATTGTATAAAATTTAAAAATTAAAACCAAAATATTTTTAAAAAACTTTGAAGATAAAAAAACTTATTAAAAATGACTAAAATGCCAACAAATTAGATTTGAAGGATAAAAAAACTTTTCTTAAAATTTGAAGAGACTTAAATGGATATTTTTGATAAATTATATTTGATCCTGGTATTTATTGGATAAAAATTATATAATAATTTTTTAATGAATAATAAATAAAATATTTTTTATATAAATAGAATAAAAAATTAAATTGACGAAAGGATTACTAGTACATTGTAATCCCTACGACGAGGCTTTGTCCTCCACTCAGGAATAGAGCGCGCAACCCTGCGCCTACGCCTATCCTTGGCGCAACCCTGCGCCTACGCCTATCTTTGGCGCAACCCTGCGCCTCCAATCTTAACAAATGTCTGAGCGGACACATCTGCCTTCGACAACTTGAAGGAACCTTTCTTATTGGCCTTGGGACCCAACACAGAGGCAAGTAATTTCTCAAAACCAACCAAATTAAAGTTTGGGCCATTCACAGAAGCAAATGGCCACGTTGTAGTGAAATATCCATTCCTCAAACAATACCCATGTATCTCCTTTCCAAATCTCAATTCCAACACCCCCTCACACGCCAGAAGCAATGCAACCAAAGTACGTGAATTTGGTTCAAAACCCTCATTTTTAATCTTTCTAAAGAACCCAATTGTCTACTCATAAAAACCACAGCACAAATCCAGACAAGATTGCATTACACGAAACCAAATCTCTGAGTTATTTTATCAAACACTTGGTTGACCTCTTCGAGTAACCCACATTTACAATAAAAGACAACAGCTGTTCCAACTCCAACATCTTTAGCCAAATTAGTACCCTGAATACTAGAATGTTTCTTCTTACCTTTCTCAACGGCATTCAGCGTCGTACAAGCCTTGAAAATGAGAGGCAGGGTGGTGTTATTTGAGGCAACGCCAAGAGATTCCGTTTGGGTAGATGTAGAAAGAATGGCATGTTCATTCACCCTTAAACCTAAAAGTTTAAAGATAGCAAACATAAGAGGGTTGTGCATTCGATCGGCGAAGAAAGACGAGAGAGAAAATTAGGGTAGATTGGGAAAAAAGGGTTTCAAATTTGGGGATTCTCGGTATTTACATGGGGTCATTTTTAAAATTTTTCAAAAATCATTTACTTAATTTCCAAAAATAAACAGAAAAAATAACACATGTCATGTTGTCAAAGTTTTTTTTTTTTAAAAAAAAACAAGATTCTTCTAAATCTTATTTATAAAAATAAGATTGTTTTAATTTTATTTATCAAAATAAGATAATTTTTGCCATGTGTATCAAATCACCTACAAATGTTGGTTTTTTTTTTTAATGTTAAATTCATTGATAATTTTATGAAATTTTAGAAATAAATATCATTTAGAATACATCCATTTCGTTAATTATAATTACTTGATAAAATTAAATGCTAATAGATTCAACCATACTAGCTTATCAACAAGATCCTTAAATAGTTGCTTTAGTAAAATCAAAATCAATAAACTTTCTAAAACCAATAACTAGAATAATTGTATCTTGAGGTCTTAATAATCTTGCTTGATTTGTAGACGTTGCTGCCATGCATTTTGCTTTCTAATTCAACAATTGACTTGTTGTTATGGGGGAGGATCGTATTGTATGGTATGGGTGACGAAAGAGTATGGTGTTGAAGCTAGAATCATGGACAAGACTATACTGTATTCAGGAAACTGGACATTCTTTATGCTTTGGATATAATGGTGAAGTTTTTATACCTGAATGAGGTAACTGCAGCAACCTTAAATTGATCCTGAGACAGAAAAACTTGAAGAGTATTAAGTTTAGTTACGTATAAAGAAAGTTTAGGTTTACTTGATCACAGAAATTATACATCACAGCTACAGATAGAAGCTTCAACAAAACAGAACAAAAGGGCAGATCAACTGCAAATACAGTCCAATCAGAAATAGGAAACCTAAGCCGCAAACCGAATGTACCGCAGCCGTTTGACCTACCAAGATAGTGCATTCTCAGAACAAACCACATACACAGCCTTCCTAAGCAGCAAAAATTGAGCAGCAGATAGGGAACAAGAGGCACCAGCATTAGGCATAGTAAAACATGATACAAAGAGCGAGAACATCAGCATACCACATATAAACGGACACTAGATCAGACGAGTGACAATCATAATCTGATGTCCACCATGTGCTGGTGTCAATTGGTTTTTAAAGGTTTATTTACTTTGGTTTTATTAGAATAATTGTTTATGGATCTTAGTAATTAACTGATGCCTAGTGGAATGGTTCTATTGGTATTTGATTTTATCTAGGTATATTGTAAATGATATTTGTTTCAAAAAATTTGTAAAATTATTAATGAATTTAGTATTAAAAAAAACCAACACGTGTTAGTGATTTGATTCACGTGGAAAAAACTATGTTATTTTGATAAATAAGATTAAAACAATCTTAGTTTTATAAATAAGATTTAAAAATATCATGTTTTAAGAAAAAAACTTCATGATGTCAAGAGTTGTGTTTCTTCTGCTCAAATTTAAGGATGTTATCTAAAAAATTGTGCGGAAGAACAAACTGAGGCAAAGTAAAGTTGAGAAATGATATTAATGAAAATTTTAATAAATAACTATTAGAACAAATAAAATAGTAGAAAAATATCCTAGTCCATCAACTTAAATATGTTCTATAATATTCTCTTTTTTATCATATCTCATATTGTACCTTATCGTTACTTCTAAAGTTTTAACAATATTAGACTTTTTGTTTTCTAGAAGAAATGTTTTTCCTCCTTGATAGCATAGTTTAAAGGTAAGTTAACATCATAATCTTCTATTTGACGTGATAAAGTACCTATATATGGTTGAATTTTAAGAGACTGCTAATGTTTGATTTCTCAATTCGCTACTTATAAAATAGAAAAATGAAGAAAGAGAAACTCAAAGGGAATAAGTTTTTCAAACTTAAATAAGCTTGGTCACATTCTTTAGCATCAAGTTGTAGAAAAAAGTTCTCATTTATTAATTACTAACATTTATGACTAAAGTAAGCGATTTTCTCAGTTGATGTACATGGGTTTGATATATTTAAAAAAGTTCTTTTAAATGCTGATTTCAAACTTTAATTAAATTTAGAAAATAAAAGAAGAAATAAATATCTTTATCACCATCTGACTAATCCTTCAGAATTTACAATTTTATTGAATATTAATTAGGTATGGGTTGGCTTTAGCATGGATTGACCAAGTTACTGATGAAAGATTAAACACATAAGTTGTATATATATGTGTGTGTAAAACTCCTATTAGGCTAGGATTATTAATAAAAAGAACAAATAATAACAATATATATAAAATCCAAAAGCTTAGCGTTAAACTAACATATTTCTAGAAAAATATATAAGATAAATTAAAGATATTCAAGCATATGAGCGTAGCAAAAATTAATATGATATATATCTTTTATTATAATTGTTTAAGTGCTTTAATAATTGTTGAAAACAACAAGGGTCGTTGAGGAAAAAAAAATTTCTATTTAGTCTTATGTCAATATTTTAAGAGTTTTTTTTTCTATATATGAAAAACACAAGAGTTTATTTAATATTTATATAGTCAGATTAGAAATCCTCACTTTAACTTAATTTTGCATTTTCGTTTGTTATGGATATGCTTATTCACCATTAGGATCTAATGAGCTTTAAACTTTTAATTATTACTTATATATTTAAAATAAAACATGATACATGAATAATACATGGATAATACAAAAAATATTTCTTGTAACATCTCCACCATCAATGCGATTACAAATTACAATTACATGAATGAAAAATCATAATTATTGTTTACAAAAAATTCCACAAAGAATGTAAACTACAATTGCTGAAACATACATGATAAACACCTTATTCTTCCTCTCTTCCGCAAATGGCAATTTATTTTTTATTTTTTATTTTTTTGTGCCAAAAGAAATTCAAATTACTATACCCCAGAAAGAAAATATGAAAATAAAAGCCCCTTAATTAATCATATAATCTGAACGAATAATTAAAGGCCGGCGGTGAATGGCACGTTGGTGGCCGGCAACCAATTCTTTCCGGAAATGAAACTGCCCACGGTGAATCGTGATGCCTCGGATGCACTAGTGATGACTCGGTAGCCTTTCCAATTAACTCTATTGGCAGTAGATGAGCCAGGGCCAGTATTCATGTATTCTCCATAATATAAAGTATTAAGAGCAAAATTTCCACTCCACGGCATCCAACCAGCTGGGTTAATCAAGCCATCAAGGAATGTTCTCATAAAAACAGTCCTTGAATATTCTTTCCATGGCCTACCAAGGTAAGTCTTAACGGAGCTTTGGACCGGCTTTAATTCGGAAGCAGCAGTTACCCTACAATTGTCAATTGAAATTCCTGTGTTTTGGTTAGGGTCCGTCCTACCTTGAGCAGTAATGGTATTGGTCTTGCTAGGAGGGTTTCGTGCATAGATGTTACAATTTTGCAAAACAACTGCAGCATTGCCAAAGATGAAGTCAACAGTACCATAGATGTCACATTCCCTATAGAATTGTCTCTGAGAATGGACATAGAGAGTGTCTTGATATCCTTCGAAGCTGCACTTGTAGAACACCGAGAAATCGGAGCCGGAACGCAAGGCAACTGCCTGGTGATTCTTAGCACCGGCTGTGTTTCTAAATGTCATGTCCCGAGCAATAAAATTATCTCCAACGACGGCTGAAAATATTCAAAACGATAGTGGATTTCAGTAATTATTTTCATTCAAATTAATGGTCAGTAAATCATTGCAATTATAATGGTCTAAGCATAATAAATAAATAAACTTGTTGCAAAATAAAAAATACCGAAATTAACTATTTAATTTAATTAACTTTTTTATGAACTCAATATGACCAAGTAAACCCACTAATCAACACTATCTGACCAAGTTTGTAAATGTACGGATTATAGCAAAGTTTTAACTGAAGGCCCGTATAGGATATATTTGACTAACCATTAGCGGAGTTAAATCATAATGATTAAAATATATAATGAACCAATTTTTATTGACAATCGCTATCTGGTCTTTTGAAAGAAAGTTTCCATGGCATTAAAGTTTCACTATCAGTCTGATGAAGCAAACTTTAGAGCTATATTGTAAATTAATAAACAATATTCGTACAGTATGATGATTAATGGCACAAAGATATTGTTTATTAATTGATCAATCTATGGTGGCACTAAAATAATTAGCTCTAGGCATGGAATCAAGGTACAAGACTTTTGAGTGGGGAACCCCTAGCTTAGACTTCTAGCTAGTAATTGCCCAAAATAATGTTGTTTCTTCCTCTCAACGCAATCAAAAACCTATTGGCTACCTTTTAGAATGAAGGACCATCCAAACCTATGTAGATACCGTATGATCCCTAATATCATAGACAGGTTCAAAAAGATTCAAAATTTTAATTACCAATTTTGTCATTTTCAAGATGACATGCAAAACTAAGTACGTCTCACAGGTCATTTGAAACTTCGCAAAGGTCTTTCTAGAATTTCATATTCCACAACTTCGTAGTTTTCAATCTAATGGGAGATTTAATGAACCATGATTTGTACAATTGAGATAATCGTCTCTTAATTCTTAATTTTCCTCTACTTTTTCTTTTTGGATGGGATTGACTCTAAGAACACTTGGTATATATTAATCGCTCCAGCGTTATTCCTGCATACATTTTTTTTCCCTTTAAATGAATTGAAAACTCCCCCACCACCAACTTTTTTTCTCCCGTGTCACCTTAACTAAAGCAATATCTATGTATCAAAACTTTCCAGCCACGTATAACTAGTTCCATTAATATCTTAACAAGGTATAAAAATCTTAACTAGGTTATTAATTAAGACAAATTGATTGAAAATCTTTATGAATCGATTAGGGATACTCACCAAATGTAGCTGACTTGAAAGTTGTAGTACCTCCTCCAACGCTTTTGCTACCGGTGACAATTGTCTTTCCTATACCATCACCCACAACCATAACATTCTTCACTTTTTTTCCTACCTCAACGTTTTCATTGTATGTCCCTGCCTTCACATATATCACATACCTCCCTGACCCTGACCTTTTCGATGCTGCATCTACGGCCTCCTTAATGGTCTTGACGTTCCCTGACCCATCTTGTGCCACCACGATGTTTGCCTGAGAAGCTGGCGAAGATGATTGCAAAAGTTTCCGGTCACCAGGCCTGACCCATGAAGGGAACGCATCTCTGTAACTAGGTTCACTATATGGCACCTTGTTTATAGCCAAAGTGTTGCTAATTAACTTAGACACGTTATTACTCATCAAAGGCAAAATATAGTCAGTCATCCCGAATTCAGTGAACCCGGTTCGGCATGTTTCTAGGTTGGTTAGAGCCGTGCTGAGCCAAGTTTGTGCATCATATTTTGTGCACTTGGTGCTGGTAGTTTTGTTGAGCCAAAGAATGATCTCTTCATAGAGCTCAAGGCAATCTTCCCATGCAGCCTTTTCGCTCCCGCTTCTACATTTTGAGCCCAGGGAGTACGTGTTGACTTTACCTTGCATGGCACGGTCCAATGCTAGTTGCATAGAAATTTTGAGAAAATCGGACTCATGTTTAATGGGAGTGTTTTTTGGGTTATGGCCTAAAAAATACTCACATGGCTGTGGATTAGGTGTTTTGCTACACCAAGACTTTACCTCATCGTGATTGTACCCCAAAATGGGTGAGGAGAGAAGGAAAGGCACAAATAAAAATATTAGCATAATTCGATTAGCCATAGATATATATATGGCTTATTGAATTAAGGTATTGGGTGGCAAGTGAAAAATGGATTTAATTTGAAGAAATGTATGTGATATATAGAAGGCTGGTTTGTGTGGGTTCGTGTTCTAAATTGATTGCCTTATATAGAAGCTGAGAAGTGGGTTGGTTGTAATAACCAATGGGTGGCATGTTATCCATTACTAGTCAACGATTTGCTCATTCGTTGAGATTAATTAATTAATTTTATGCATTTAATTGGATGGCTGAAATAAACAAATTAGTAAAAGGGTGGCTGACTGGCTTGTTAGATGACTTTAATTTTACTAATTGCTTTCAACCAAGGGAAAAGG